TTGAAACATTTGACTTTACTCGAGGACGAGTAAAGAGACTGAGTACGGGGGAGTTGATTTGTGTGTAATTTCCATTTGTATTTGTACGTTTTTAATTAGTTTTGTGATTCACTAGCTTGGAAATTACACATCTTTAGTGTAATGTTTTGTTTCATACAAATTGATGTAAATTGTTTAGATTAGGATTTTTCTGAGCATAGGACAGGTTAAAAGCACTCAAAGGATCAAGAAATGGATCCCAAAGACAAAAGGATGCGCAAAGGGACAAGATCAATAAGGGATTTGAGAAAAAGTTCATATACCCGGTCGGGTATATCCCATACTCGATCGGGTATTGACCCGATTTCAGTGTCCAAATCAAATCCCAGAAAACAAAGGATCGTGGAGACAATATAATTGGAAAATCCGATCCCATACCCGATCGGGTATACCGACACACCCGTTCGGGTATGAGGTGACGTTTTCTCACTTCTCGGAAACAGCTGAGTACCCGATCGGGTACCCCAAACACCCGGTCGGGTACATGATCCTGCCACCTTCAAACACCTATAAATAGCCCCATTTTCCTTCACTTTGGATCATCCCTTCTTCCATATACTTAAGCTCAGTTTAGAATAGTAAATTCTTATATTTTTATAGCATGTTTAATCTCCAAATGAGGAGCTAAACTTCCATTTCTTGGTTTTGCTCTTGAAGCTTGATTGATTATTAAAGTTGTGAGTTATTTTCTTACTTTCTCCTCTTGATTATTAATTCTTCCCTTAATCTCATTCTATATCATTGTTGGAGGGTGGCTAAGTGACGATTAGTTAACGTTCCAACATTGATTATTACTAGAAACGTTCAACGAACCAATGGTTAAACGTTGAAGGTTTCATAAGTAAGTAACTTCGGTTTATTAATGCACGGTCGTGGTTAATATAACTTAAGAGGGATTAATTTTGTTGGTTAAACCGAAACCGTTGCGTTGAGGTTATCAACCTTAATTGATTTCATCAAGGAGTTAAAGAGGTTAAAAGCTACTGTTATATCGGTATACGGCGTTGTTCTATATTTGATAAATAGTAAGGGTTATTAATGAACGGTCGTTGTTAATAACTACCCTCGATGAATTGGATATACTCCTCGATTGAGTATTCGAGAGGGGATAAGTTATAGATATAACAATGATCGACTAAAATATATCAACAAGTGGAAAGTAGCAAGACCAAGTCCCTTTTATTCTTGAATTTAATCCCATATAACTCGTTCATCTTCGTGTTTAATTTAATTAAATCACTCAACAAACAAAACCCCCCTTTATTTACTATTTTTATAAAAAGAAAGTTATTTCCTTTCCCTGTGGATACGAACTCTACTTCACCTATACTACGTATAAGTGTTAATATCGATTTATTTTGAGTGCACTCACGACAAAGTGCACGTCAACTTCCCATATACGAGCTCATTAAATTAGGTAGCCAAATTAAGACATCCAAGAATATTATAATTGAATATTCATTAGCAGCAAATCAATCATGCACTAAGCTAAATACTATTTGTTTAAATCGTGTGATTAATAAAGGAAGGGAAAATCCAAGTGACTTTTATTTCTTACTAAACCAAGCTTCGGTCATCTAAAAAAGGCAAGGATATTTTCCTTATTTAGCATGCAACGGTCATTCATTTATCACCAAGGATTCCTTCCATAAAGGTTAATTTATAAAAGACAATATATTCAAGCTTAAATCGTAATTTATGCAAGTGGAGATCCTCTCATAAAGCATTAGTAAAAAAAAAGCCAAGTCAATAAAGTCATCTAATTATGTATGGAAGGGATTTCAAATCATGCTACGTGTACTCTTATGTCATTAAAAATATCCCCTTTCGAAACATTTCAAATGCCCCATTAAATGATATGATGATCATTCAATCACGTAGGGAATGATACCACATGCAATACATAGTACTGCAAACACTATGGCAGTTCTAAACTCTATCCAATAGCCACCTGCATGGTTAGCCAGCAGTTAGTGCACGTGAGTAATAGATCAGTTCTTATTTCCTATTCTGCATGGTTAGTCATCAACAAAACAACATATTCAACAGTATATATTAAGTAGATGTAAGTAGATTATAATTATATATTAAGTATAGTAGATGTAAGTAGATATAAGTATATCTTAAGTAGATAGTAAATATAAGTAGGGAGAAAGACATAAATAGGATCAAAACATTGGCATGGAACCCAAATGGGAGTTCAAGTTTTTTTAACCCCAAATAGGAGTACTTTTTCTGTCTCGGACAAAAATAGCCCCAGCCTCCAAGATCTCAAATTGAGCCGCGCCGCAATTCCTCCGGTGCAACACAACCAACCAGATTCTTCATCTTCCTCAAAGCTACCAAACACGGAAACACCCGTCTCTTCTCCAACACCAACAATTTTTTACCCTTTTCCTCCTAATCATCAACCCACAATTTATTAGAAATACGGCTCCAAATATACGCAGGCACGCAGCATAGTTCACCTCCCCACGGCCACAATCAACAACCAATGAGAACCTTGGTGACTGGATTAATTATCAACAATGTAATTATTCTCGTTGGTCTCGGTAGGTGTTGAGTTTGATTCCGGTCTGCCATATCTTGCAGAAACCACAAGAGAATTTGGACAGCGAGAAGTTGAGGTACTTCTGACTTTTCCACCCTGACGGCGGAGTGGTGGGGTGGGGCAGTGACACCGGCGGCGGCGGAGGAGGAACGGGAGCAATCACTATAACAGGGGAGAAGGAGGTACGCAACGAAGGAGGGGCAGGAGTCGTTGGAGCTGCCGGTGGAGTTGCGAGATGCGGTGGTCAAGCTGTCGAAGGAGGAGGTGAATGAGCAGGTGAGGAGGAATTCAGAATCGGATGAGGAGGAATGAATTGCAGGTGAAGGGCCTGTGTGAGATTCAGCATCCATTTATCTTTTCTCCTCCACATCGCCGGTGGAGAAATCATAAATTCATACAGAATACTTTGTTAAATGTTCGTGCCTATGTATTGGATCCAATTGAAAACACTGTGACATATCAAAGATCTTATTGCGAGAAAAAACAAATGCTAATAATATGCATCACACAGCTCAAAATAATGCCACAATGTCATGGAAAACAATTATAATGACTATTATCACATTTTCTTGACATTGTAATAATAATATTAATGATAATGTCATAAGAATGTCAATGATAATGTCATAAAAATGTCAATAAAAACAATGTCAATGACAATGTCGTAAAAATGTCAATGACAATGTCATACAAAATTAAAAATGTCAATAACAATGTCATACAAATCTTTATATTATATAAAGTAGCAAAGTTGCTACTACTTTTGGAGGGAATTTTGCCGCCAAAAATAAGGGTATAATGGGAATCTTTATATTATACGTAGTATAAAGTAGCAAAGTTTGTTACTATTTTTGAAGGGAATTTTGCCGCCAAAAATAAGGGTATAATGGGAATTAATGTGAAAAACAACTGAACTCCCGCCTATGCATCATGTCTACGTTATTAATTAGGTAAGTTCATTAGTGTCGACGTCATTGATTGGTAAGAGCATCTTCAATGCTATAATGTCCACAGTGCACATGTGTTATAAGTGATAGCCACATAATTATTAGCAAATAAATTATTTCTCTCCTTATTTGAATGATTTTATATAATTTTAGTAAGTTTTTCCCTGCAATGTCAACAACAATGTCAACATTAGACGGTCTCCTCGACATTGTGGAGAATAACTTACCAAAACTGTATAAAATCATTCAAATAAGGAGAGAAATAATTTATTTACTAATATTTATGTGGTCATCTCTCATGCCACGTGTGCACCGTGCACATTGTACCATTGAAGATGCTCTAAGGTTACTAATTTGGAAGTGGATATCACGGTGGAAATGACTGCCCATATAGTCATTGTTTAAGAGCCCGTTTGGTAGCACCAAAATCGGCTGTTTTGGCTGATTCTGCTGAAATTTATGATATTCTGGCTGGAGTGGCTGTTTTGGCTGATTCTGCTGATTTAAGAAAAAAAAATTTTAAAAATATATTTTATTAATAAATTAATGAAAAAATTATATGTAAAAATAGCTAAAATGGTCCTCTACAGTAACTTCAGCCAATACAACCAGAAAAGTAACTCCAACCTTACTTTTTCGGCTTATTACACAATTCAGCGCGCGAAAGTAAAAGTTACGTGTTTGGTGAAAAAGCTGGCTGATAAGCCTGATAAGCCGAAAACAGAGTTCTCCAAACGGGCTCTAAAAGTCAATGTCATTATACCACAATGTAATATAATGTCATTGTTTAAAAGTCAATGTCTTATATCACAATGTAATATAATGTCATTGTTTAAAAGTTAATGACATTATACGACAATGTAATACAAAGTATAATGTCATTGTGTAAAAGTCAATATCATTATATGACAATGTAATACAATGTCATTATATAAAAATCAATGTCATTAAATGACATGAAGTATGATGACATTGTTTAAACTTCAATGCTATTAAATGACAATGTAATATAATGTCATTGTATAAAAAATAGTGTTCTAATATGACAATGTGAAGTAATGTCATTGTTTAAAATTCAAGTCACTAGTCATAAATCAATGACATTATATGAAAATATAATATAACGTCATTATAAGACAATGTAGTATAATGTGATTGTTTAAAATTTAAAGTCATTGTTAAAAAATTAACGGTCGTTGTTTCAAAACCAATGTCATTATATGACAATGTGATATAACTAATGTCATTGTTTAAAATTAATGTCTTTATCATATATCAATTTAAAATAATTTGAATGTTATAAAAAGACATTATTGTCAATAATGTACCAAAACATTAAACAATTTCAAAAATGTCAAACCATATCAATATTTTTTTTACCAGACCATCTTAATAATAAAATAATCAATGTCATGTGATTGCCCCAAAATGAATGTCAAGTTTTCTATTTTTGACAAATAATATGTGATTCTTATCATTTAATTTTATTTCACTTTAAACTCAACCACAATAATTAAAAAGAAATAAAAGGATGGGAAAGACACATTCAACAAAACGTAGTGACTAAGAAATTGAAAAGTAAAACGTAGTAACTGCATCCATGTAATGACTAATGAAGCCAAGGCTGCAGATCCTTTGGTTGTGGCATTAATAGTGTTTCCAACCGAAGAACATCAGTTATCTCACGAACACTTTCTGGCTGCAATATTGTTATTCATTATATAGGAATAAAAAAGAAAGATTAAACAAAACATACAATGAAGAAATTGACTTGCAGGGGATATTTCAGCCGATTCAACCCATCTTCTTTGAATTCCTTCACGGTTTAATCTCTAATTAGCTCTTGGTGGCGACATCATCCCAGCTCTTACATCATCGTCTTAATTCTTCAAATTTGTCATCTAAGACTTTTTAATATAACAATCCTTGAACAAATTGCAGATCCGGCGAGCCACTTCTTCGCCGCCAGAAGCATCTCCGGCAACCTTCACTTGCAGCAGCGAACTCCGATTCGCTGAAGAAAAGAATCATCTTGGCGGAGATAAATCAAATTGGGAATTCAAATTGAGCAGCAGTGCAAGATCCCAGGTATCTTTCTCGGCCGTCATCTTCACCGGCGCCGTGCACCTCGTTCTTGCCGTCCTTCATCTATTTCGTAATTAGCTCAAGCCTGCTGCTGCCGCTCAACTATTCGTCTTCCACCTCTGTTGTTCGACGAAGCAACCAGATCGGACGAGGAAGAGTGATGCGAGTGTGCTTCAATTAAATTAAGGGCAAAAGTGGGATTAAGCAAAAGAATAGTCCTATTTAGGTTTAAAAAAGTAGGTACTCCTATACGGGTACATAACTAAAATTTTGGTCCTATTTAGGACCATTTCTCATATAAGTAATATAATATATGTATTTATAAGTAGATAATTAATATATAAGGAGATAAAATAATTGTATAAATAGTAAAATAGATGTATAGAGAATACGAGAATTTGAGTAGATGAAGATGGAGATGATTAAGAGTATTAGAGAGTAGAGAATAGGTCGGCCCGGACCGGGTCCATGACTAGTCCCATGGAACTACGTCGACTGTCCTTTCTTGGTTCCACTAGTTTTTTTGCAAAAAGAAAAGATTTTTTTAGAAAAATATTAGAGCAAATTACTAAAGTTAGGGAAGGTAGAAAGTTAAAGAATAATAAAAGGTAATGAAATAAAAGCACTAATCAAAAACTTCTTCCTCCAGGTAGAAAAAAAAAATTTGAGCAAATTTTTTAGTCACTTTATTTTATGAATAAATATTTTGTTGTTGTTAATCCTTTCTTCTCTATAAGAATTTTAACTACACGTCTACACACTATTTACTTTATATTCGACATGTTAGTCAACTTTGACAAAATCAAAACTAACGGATACGGAGTATATATATGGAGTCTTAGATAGACATCGGTTTTCTTGGGTAGGTGGCTTTTCTTGGCGGGATATTGGGAAGGTGGCATCCTTCCCTCTTAGCTTAGGTTATCATTTGCATGATAAATTGCGTCCTTCCCTCTTTTTATAGCATAGGTCGTAATTGATTTTCATCATGAGTGAAATTACTAAAATTGTTGAAATGAAAGTGTTTTGTTTTATTTTGGATGAAATAGTTGATTGAATGTATATTTATCAAAAAGGGTATTATCTTCTTTGTATTTAAAATATAGTCATATGTATGTTCATTTTGCTAGTATAATATTTTTACTAAAATGAGTAAATTTATATTAAATATTACACTTTTATTAGTTACACTATTAACAAGCTATCATGTAAATAAATAATAAATGATGGAGAGTATGCATGTAGTGCCTAATTAACAACATGTTTTGTTAAAGTCTCACACCAGACATCCCTGAAAGAAATAAACACTATATTAAGATCTAAGTTACTCCTTCTATCTGGTTGACCTTTTAGGATGGAACCTCAGATCTTAACATGGTATCAGAGTCAAATCAATCCGTGGTGCGGGCCCCCTTAAGAAAAATGACAACATGCATGAATATAAAAAAATATGACAATGACCAACCAATGATATGATAAAATGAATGACGACACGATCCAGACGAAGTGTCTGGTCGTGAGGAGGGGTGTTAAAGTCCCACATACACCGGATATCTGAAAGAATTAAAAACTATATTAATATCTAAGCTACTCCTCCGATCAGATTGACCTTTTATGATGGAACCTCAGATCTTAACATGTTTTAATTACTAATTATACAAAGGGTAATGCAGCAGGCAATTATGAGCTGGTTTGGTTATTTAAATTAAACGAAGTATGTAGCAAGTGATTTTAACATTATTGATGCGCCCCAACATCCAATTCTAAAAAACGTCGGCCAGGAAAAGTTTGTGCAGCTTGGAGTCTAGGAAGAAGACAATTCAACTACCAAGCGTGTTTAAAAGAGTTAGAGAAGGATAAATATGACTTTTAATAGGTTATGGCATAATAATAGAATTCAGCACAAAAAGTAAGAGTTATGTTACTTTTTCTGCTTATAATAAAAATCAATCAAATCAACCCGAGGTTTTTGGTGATTATTTTGTATATTAAGACTTATACGCCAATTTCTAATCCTCCAAACGGCCACTTAATATCGTAACGTTTTATTTCTCTTCTGTGACATATCATAGGGCAAAGAAGTTTTTCCTAAAAGATTGTCATACGTAATCAATCTTACAAATACGGAGTATTTAAATAAAGATTAAAAGAGAAAGTGTTGCAAATGATGATGATGCGTAAGCACCAATCTCCAATAAATAGACCCTAGGTTGTTCAACCATTTATGGTTTACATTCAACTAGATTCGCACCCGTGCGATGCACGGGGACATATATGAAATAATAGGTACTTCATATATTATAGTATTTAAGATGTTTTTACTTGAATTGAAATTTGTTGGTTTTTTGTATGAAAAAAGTCCAAATGTTGTAGCTATGAAATATAAAATGACCAATCATGTTTTCATAAAAAACAATACAACACCGTTTTCCATCTTCGAAAGCACCCTTCCATGAAGCGTTCAGTAGACTCCTTCCTGAAATATGACCCCAATATAGTTAGATGAAATGGTTTGAACCATGTACGTAGTATATTATTTTAAAGACATTCTTAGTTTCTTACCCCGGTTCATCAAGCATGTGACAGATGCGGAGTATATGGTATGGTGACATGGTGAATACGAACTTTGACATTTCTTCAGTGTGAGTGTTAACTGGAAAAGTAGTCAACATTGCGCTACTATTTTGAAAAATTATTTAGTGTTAGTTAGTTTGTGACTTATGATATTTTACCTGGATTTCTCCCCAAGCAGATTGTTGATAGTTGTTATTATGACCAGTGCACTTCATGCTCTTTTATTTAAGACTTGTACATATCAAGTTGTGGCCTTTTCACCATAAAATGGATTTGAGTCCCCTGTAAGAAATATTTAATGTTAAAATTTAAATAAAACTGATACCAAGCTAAATACTACGTAGTATTAACACTGGAGCGTTTTTATTGAAGAAGGCATTACAACCTTCCTTGATAATAACACTTTTATAGCCCATGTTGGTGTAGTATGATCTACATCCAACCTTTAACCAGTCTTCTTACAATAGTCCTACCTTTTCGTTATTCAAGAATAATCCAATCTTTGCACCCCATCTTCATTCACTGGTCCCCTAATCGGTTAATGACCTGGTATTCCAAGTTATTTTCTTATCTTTACAAAATATTATCTTTGTGAAAGGTGAGATTTATGGTATAATGGTTTGCAAAGATAAGAAAATAACTTGGAATAGCAGGTCATCAACCGATCAGGAACCAGTGAATGAAGATGAGGTGCAAAGGTTGGATTATTCAATAATAACGAAAAGGTGGGACTATTGTAAAAAGACCACTAAAAGGTTGGATTATTAGGATGTTTTTACTTGGACTGTAATTTGTCCCAGACCAGACCAGTCCAGACCAGACCAGTCCAGAGCAGACCAGACCAGACTTGGATAGTTATAAAAATACAAAGAAACCAGACCTTACCAGACCAGACCAGTTCAGACCAGACCAGACCAGCAAATTACAGTCCAAGTAAAAACATCCTTAGTTTCCATTTTCCCTTTCTCTTTTTGATGAATTGATCAAAGCACTTTTCATTCCCTTTTTGATGAACTGTGTGCCATTGCTAAGCTGGTGCGTGTTTGTTTTGGTGTTGTACACTACCTAACACATTGAGAGAATTTATAATTGCATAAGTCATGGTCTTAAATCGTACTCTATATGTGTGGTTTTTAACTAATGGTTCATTCAAACTCCACAATCTGTCTAAGATTTTGTAGTACAAATCATTTAATGCTATGTAGTACAAAGTACAATACCTTTACTATTTATTTGATGATCTTGCTCTACGTACTTTAGATAGCTGCTTATTCGAAGTACAATAACAACGTACTTCCTCCGTTTCTTAAAACTTTGTCATTTTTTCTTTTTTGGGACGTTCCAAAAAACTTTGCTACTTTCCCTTTTAGTCAATTATTTGTGGTTTCTGTTATTTCTCTCTCCTCTACACAAAGTCACAAACCTCAACCATATAGTTTTATTTTATTATTCTACGTGCCGATCAAGTTTGGCAAAGTTTTAAGGGACGGAAGTAGTACAATAATAAGGTGTAGAAACTTTTCATAGACACCTCATTAATGCTATTAGGCTGTCCGCAACGCGAGCCATCAATACACCTAATTTAATGTTTTCACTCTTAATTTGCTGCAACCCTAGCAAAAAAAAGTATACAAAGGTCTCAACAGGAGTTGGGAGCACCTTTGAAGTGGGAATCCTCACCCCCTATTGACAGAAGTAGTAGAAGGAATGCGCCACCCTCCAAGTGGGCGCAACTAGTGCAGAAGTGGGGCAAACAAATTATTTGAAGTCTAAATTTTACATAACATATATCAAAATTCATAACTTTTTTTATCTTTCATATGACACCAATATTACATATATAAATTTAAAAAATAAATAAATAAAATTTCATTTGATCGAAATCTTTAAATCTTAAATTTTTCTTAAGTAGATCGAGGTTTTAAAACTTAAGGTTTCATAGTTAAATTGTTTTTACATCCTCCATTTATTTTTAGAAAAAAATAAGTCTGAATTAACAAAATAAAAATTAATTCCAATTTTATTTATTTTTACATCACATTGTTTACCTATTTATATCATAATCATTCTCAAAAAAAGAATTTTGCAAAAAAAATGATGTATATAATAACAAAATTAAGTGTTGGATTAAAAAAATGTGTTGAGTGAATATATATTGATAGTGCTGGGTTGCAGGAAAAAACTGAATTGATTGAGTGAGCACGTATAAACTGGTGTGGAATTAAATTTAATGACGGAGCGGTTAGCCTTACACAGTAAATCAAGTTTGAAAAAGCAAAAATTTCTACATGCTTATTGTGAATTGACAACGTAGTACAATATATTTAGGGGAAAATAATTAAAATACCCCAAACTTTGATGAGGTATGAGATAAACACCTCAAACTTTCACATGTAATTTAAATACCCCAAAATTTATAATTTGTTTCTTTCAAATTATAAATTTATGGTGTTAAATGCATAATTTAAAATAGCAAATTGAAAACATTAGAAATAAACACCAAAAATTAATATTTTGAAAGAAATAATACATGACCATGGTGCTAAAATAACTTTTTATATAAAGTTTGAGATATTTAAATTACATATGCAAGTTTGGGGTGCTTATCTCACACCCCATCAAAGTTTGGAGTATTTTAATTATTTCCCACATATATTTAATGGCCACCAAGTTAGAGCCCGTTTGGAGATCTCTGTTTTCGGCTTATCAGGCTTATCAGCCAGCTTTTTCACCAAACACGTAACTTTTACTTTCGCGCGCTGAATTGTGTAATAAGCCGAAAAAGTAAGGTTGGAGTTACTTTTCTGGCTGTATTGGCTGAAGTTACTGTAGAGGACCATTTTAGCTATTTTTACATATAATTTTTTATTTAATTTATTAATAAAATATATTTTTAGAATATTTTTTTCTTAAATCAGCAGAATCAGCCAAAACAGCCACTCCAGCCAGAATATCATAAATTTCAACAGAATCAGCCAAAACAGCCGATTTTGGTGCTACCAAACGGGCTCTTAGGCTCAACTTTTATTTTCGAATGGCACAATACTCGATAATGTGAATGGAGAAGTGCGTTCTCCAAGAAAAATCATCGAGCCACTCAATCTAAAATTCTTGGATTTGAAGCCTACATTTATTGCAACCTGTTTCGGCCACAGATCCGTCACAACTCCTTGCACCATATGAAGACCGGACCCATGAATGACCTGTGCTTTGGGCCTGAAGGTCAAAAACAGCCAGCCTTTTGTAAAACCCGACCCGACCGGTTTTCTAAACAACACTTTGGACGGGAACACTGTTTCCTTTTTCATCCTCCTTTTTAATATTAGAAGATACTTATAAATAACCCACCATTTCTCATCTCCTATACAATTACTCCGTATACTAAAGTGTTCTGTCTCCTGTACATTCCAATTAAATACGGAGGATAACACATTAACACCATCATATACTCTCCTATAAAATATGTTCTTCATCATAGGTGTGGCCATTAGATCTATAATCTTAGTTGCTTCTCCTTTCGCTTGTGCATCAAACCCAGACAAGTTGCAAGACTTTTGTGTGGCTATCAAGGATTCCGAAGCTAATGGTACACATTTAATTAATCAATCACCCTCAACTCTTCGTCTAAAAATATCCTTAAAATATGTTTTTTCTCACCTCTAATTAAGTCTCATCTCCCTAAATAGCAAATTTATGATACTACAAGCCATGATCGAGCAAGGTGAGGGCGAGGCATTTGGGCAACTCAAAGTGGTGACTTTTTTTAGAACGAGGGAATAATTATAATATAATAACTTAATAACAATTTAACACTTAAATTAGGGGTGTTTAGATCCGATTTTTAAAACTGTTTTTGCTCCTTCAGGGAGCAGAAGAAGTTAGAGTGTTTGAATGAAAGTGCATAAATACTTCTGGTGCTCTAATTTACTCCTATAATTAGTTTTTTTAATTAGAAGCTGGGGGAGATCTGAAAATTGATTTGAATTCTACTTTTGATTTTGTTTTAAAAAAGAAACAAAAGCAGAATCAGTTCCAAACACCCTCTTATTTCCAAACACTCTGATATTTTCATGAATAATCCAACCTTTGCACCTCATCTTCATTCCCTGAACCCTGACCGGTTCATGACCTGCTGTTCCAAGTTATTTTCTTATCTTTGCAAAATATTATCTTTGTGAAAGGTGAGATTTATGGTATAATGGTTTGCAAAGATAAGAAAATAACTTGGAATAACAGGTCATGAACCGGTCAGGGACCAGTGAATGAAGATGCGGTGCAAAGGTTGAATTATTCATGTATAATCAAAAGGTGGGACTATTGTAAGAAGATCGCTAAAAGGTTGGATTATTATTTTCTATTTTCCCTAATTAGATTCTAAATCAAAGAATGGGTTATAGACAAAGTACGTAGTTTGGCTAGCTGCCTAGCTTGATACTGTTGTTGTGTGCGTGTCTCAAAATTAATATTAAGGCTTGTTTACTCACAAAATAGTTTCCAGTTTTTCATTTTTGTTTTTCGTTCTACAATTTTTTGCTTTCATTTTCCAATTTTTTATTTCCAAGTTTTTGTTTTCATTTTTTAGTTCTCCATTATCAAATTTGAAAATATGTTAATAAAAAATTTTCACCTAGTTCTGTGACTGACAAGAAGACCGAAAGTACGGTCCCAGTTCAGAACCGAACCTAGTACAACACAAGTAGGGTACCAGGTACCATGTATAGGAAGTCGGGACCGAAACTGGCCGGTCTCGGTGGATCTCAATGGTAAGTTTTGCGAATTCTTTTCTCATTTCCCTATTGATTGAGAACTCAACGGCTCTTTTAAAACTTTTCACTTTAAAAATTGATTTCAAAAAACCGAGACTGAACTAAAAAGGGAGCAAACAAGGACCACCGGGTCATGGACCGGATCGGGCAGGGGCCGCCAGGTCGCGGACTGGACTAAAAAGGGACCGCGGGGTCGTGGATCGGACTTGACAGGGATTGTCAGGTCGTTGACCAGACCGGAATTGCTGGGCCATCCACCAAACTAGACATGGACCGTCGGTCAATGACCGGATCGGACTGACGGGTCGTTGACCGGACCAGATGGGGTCCGTCAGGTTATTGACTGGACCGTACTGGAACTAAGACCGCAGCGGGACCGGATCCACCACTAGGCGTAAGTATGCAAATTCATTACAGCGGCATTGCAGCATCCGCGCTTTCTAAAATTTATAAAAACTAATAAATGTCACTTCTCTAATTCATTAAGGAAAATGATTTGGGAAACACATTTTTCAGTTTTCCTTTCTCCAATTTTCCAACAAATGTTTTTGGTAAACACGTTTCTAGTTTTTTGATTTCCAGTTTTTCAATTTTCTGGAAAACTTGAATATATCTCTGTTAGTAAACAAGCCCTTATATTCTTCGTACTTTTTAGAGTTGTCAAAACAAACTCTTATTTTTTTATTATTTGATGCATTTCCATTATATTTATATTGCACGCGCAGTGTTTGTGAATGGAAAGATTTGCAGGAACATAAGAGAAGTGAATGCTGATGATTTCTACTTGCAAGCCCAACTTAACATTCCACGAAACACATCAAATCGATTAGGATACAAACCGACACCAATAGTAGTGGATAACCTACCAGGACTAAACACGTTGGGTGTTGCAATAGGGCGCGTAGACTTAGGACCATATGGACTTAGCCCTCCCCACTTCCATCCTCTAGGAAGCGAGGTCTTTGTAGTGTTCGAGGGAACAATATATGCTGGATTCATTGACTCGAGGAACAAATTGTATGCCAAGACGCTCCGTCCCGGAGACATTTTTGTTGTGCCGCAAGGGCTCATTCATTTCATGTACAACACTGGAGGAAGCAATGCTGTTACGTTTGAAGCCTTTGGAACTGAAAACCCATATCCCATTAATACACTTGAAAAACTTTTTGGAAGTGATCCACCAATTCTTCCTCAAGTTCTCAACAAAGAGTTCCTATTAGACAATGATGTGATTAGTCGTCTCATATCAAAATTTCATTCGGAGTCACCAAAATGAGACCAGCATGTACCTATGCATGCCCACTCGCAACAATGGCAATATACTTTGTAATAGCTTGCCTATATCAATTAAATAAAAACGCCATATATAAATCAATAAATTTACGGGGCATACGATAAAAGTTCATGCCAATTCAAGTAAGATAATGCAAATGGAGTATATTTTATGACCTAATGGTTTACCTTCAATTCATTCAATGATGTATCCAAAAAAAAATTGTGAATGACGCCGAATTGAACTTACACTAAAACTTATTCATATATTTCACAATGAGCAAATCATATTACTAATATATATCGTTTGATTATACATAGTTTAAGATGTGTGTGTATAAATATGTATAAAAAGAAAATCAATTCATATTATGTACAATGTGCAAGGATGCAATTGTTGATACAATTTGAGAAAATTTCCCCAATAAAAGTTAATCATAACAAAATTTAGCGAATTTAGAATTTTCCTTATGTTTAACTCATATTTTGAACAATTTTCTATAAAATTATATATATACCAAGTATATACGAAATGACATAACGTACTAGGAGTACATGTTTTCCAATGATTATAAAGTAGTTGTCCCTAATAGTAGTACATGTTTTAAATTCCAAATTAAGAGCAACGTGATGGCATAATAACATTTAAAATTTCAATTAACAGAATAATTCATACAGATCAATAGAAATTGTGTGTTCAGCTTTACAAGCACCATATCTTGATTATCTTCTATAGTAGATTTTTTTTTTTCAATTAGTATGCATATAGAGAAAGATGAACGAACTATCAATACATCCATGTAGATACAAATATAGATGGTGTTGACAATTATTTAATCTATGTACCCCACAGTGCAGTGAAACAATCACCGACTATGTTTTAAAAGTGTGAATACATATGTTATATTCTCTTATGATCCAATCTATATATCTATATATAGATACATACATTTGATTTCGGTTGGACAGCACAAAAATACTTTGAAGCAAATTCTATTTACTTGTCATTTCGGTTGGAGAGCACAAAATTACTTTGATCCAAACAATCATCAACTAACATAATTTTAATTTGTGCTTCGTTTTTATATTTCATAAAAGGGAAAGGGCACAGATAGGTTAGGCCCTTGTACTATTCTATGTCTAGCCAAAGAGTGGGAGGACCTTTTGACTATGCGGAGCCTCAGGATGAGGTTTGGCGATGTTTGGTTGGATGTACTTCAAGAATTTTGGTGCTATAATATCATTAGTTTCCTTTCAAAATAATAATAATATATCTCTAAAGGAGCGAGTAATACAGGAGTTTAACTAGAACATTCTAAGACTTCAAATATGTGTATGTTAAATACTATTAAATGAAAGAATGTAACAATTAAGCATTGTAGCCTAGTGGTCCTTGTCCTAATATAAAATTCAAATGTCATGGATTCGACTCTTGTCCTAATTATTTGATGACATGGAATAACTAGCGAACGATGTGTGGCATAGGTGACGACGTGACGTGGCACATGGCATTGCAGGTTGGAAGACATCGAAAAAATTCTCTAATTTGGGAAATAAGTTTAAAAGTACCTTAGTTTGAGAAATAAATTTTAGAACTTGCTCTCTCCAGGAAAAAACTTATTCTTGACTCCCTTCGGGAATATGCATTTTTCGTTAAGTCTTTTCTAATTGCTTTTGATTCTGCATGTTTATCTTTTCAAGAGAATTGATGTGAGTTTTCTCTCACTCAAAAAAGCTTATAGTAAAGGGTAGAAGTACGAGTATCGTCTCCACATGGACGGACAAAAGAGAATTAAAAATTAACTAAAATCAGCGATAAAAAGAAATGAAATAAAATAAAATGCAATTGTGCTAGATTGATTGGTTGTGAGAAAATTAAAATGCAACTAAATGATTAAAATAAATGGGTTTTCTCTAATTAATGACGAAGGGAACATGGATTGATCCCGTGGTAATCAGATTTCTGGCAGATCAAGCTTAATCACGTGAAAATTATTTAATTCAGCAACGCTAATCAATACTAAGTTCTAACCGCTCTCGCGGCTTAGAATACAATAATTTAGGGAACCATGCTGATCTCTCATGTGACAGGTATCTAAAATTATTGTCAAAACGAGCGAGCGTACGGCCTTTTAATCGCTACTAATCTCTTAACGAACGATTAAGTGTGTGAAAGTGTCCTAGAATAAATTAGATCTCTCTTAATTTATTCCACATGAGCAATTGTAATTCTAGTGGTCATTCTAGGTTACAAGAGATATCAATTAAATCATTCACACACAAATTAAATAAAGATTCATGCAATTTAAACCATCAAGATACTCTCCATACATCATGAATAACCCTTTCATCAATCCCAAATACCTAATTAATACTACTCACAATTCATAATTGAAAAATCAATAGAATTGGGAAAGAAAGAATTAATTGTCATTAATTAAAAAGATGGAACCTACAAAGAATCCCAAAATATTAATGAACACAGCTGAAAAGCTCTCTAAATTTCGTGCTAGGCACTCTCTCTAAGCTCCGTAACCTCAAAATAGGGGTTTGGGGGCGATGTTTATAGAAAATAGCTGAATTCAAGCATAACTGGGATTTCCGGAGGCATGCACAGTGTCATGCACGATTGTGTCTCCCTCTGTGCCTCCGTAGCATTCACGTATCTCGCTTCCAGGCACGATCGTGCCTGCCGGGCAGGAACGATCGTGTCAGGCCTCCACTAGCTAGGGGTGGACTCGGGTCGGGCCGCCCGGCCTGGAACCGGCCCGGTTCGGGCCTAACGAACTGCTCAATTCCCGGGGCGGGCTCGGGCCTCCTAAAAGTGGAACCGGCCCGGCTGGTCCGGGCCCGGTTCGGGCCAATTTTTTTTTTTAATTTTTTTTGTTTCTACAGGGTTAGGCTGAGTGTTTTTTTGGGGAGGGGGGGCTTGGGGGTGGGGGTGAGGGGGGGTTTAATTACAAAAGAAAAGAAAATTAAAAAAAATAACATTGAACCGGAACCGGCCCGGTTCGGCCCGGAACCGCTGCCTACCCGGGCCGGTTCTCCCTTCCCATAGAAAAAGCCCGGCTGGGCCCAGGCCCGAACCGGAACCGTCCCGGCCTGGGTCCATCCCTACCAGTAGCTGCCAAGTTCGTTCTTCTACAAGCACTGCGTGCCTGTTGGTTAGGCACGACCGTGCCTCGTCTTTTCTCGTCTGAATTTGAAAATGCTTTCTTAATAAAAGTTGTAGATAATGCAGTCCTCTATCCACCATAACTTGCAAAAAAGGATTTGAATCTTCGAATCAAAAGATATGAATAAAACGGTTGAAGGTCTCATCATTCTGAAATCGCAACAGCAATCATCTGACTTCTTCATCTGTTTTTACCTTTCTTCTTTCATATTCTCGCAATGGTGTCTTCATATCATTTGTAGACCTTGAAGTTGGATTTCATATGGAACTTGAATCGTGTCCTTTTTATGTTTCTACAAAGAGATATGCATGAAAGACTGACAGAACGTCATCCTGATCGTCGTTTTCAAGCTTTAATCATCTTCTTTTGATCCCATAGCCAATCCTAGAGCTCTTTTAACATCAAATCTTCATCGTGAACCTCCCGGTGACTTCCAAAGCTCTCAAATCAATCTCAAATGCTTCTCAACTCGTCCCGGTTGCTTCTCAAGCGCCAGTGTCGGACTCTAACTTCTTGATTTTGACTCCAAACAACACAAAACTCTAACCAACGGCTGGTAAACAAGACTTGAGCTAAAATAGAGACTTGTAACACCTTAAAGCTAGGAAAACCATCAAAAGCTGATCCCAACACGCATGAAATGCGTGGTGTAATACGAACTTATCAAGAATACAATGTTGCTGATTTAATTTGTGGCTACTTTTTGAGATATATGAGATGTTTGAATATATTTTTTAAAACTATTTTGCTCCTTCAAGGAGCAGAAATGGATATTGGAGTGTTTGTGTAAAAGAGCAGAAATATTTTTTAGTGCTCCAAAATATTCCAAGAAGCAGTTTTCTAAAAGTCGGGGGAGATCAAGTTCAGAAAATAATTCTAAATTTACTTTTGCTTTTAAAAAAAAGTTAAAGCAGAATCAATTTCAAACACTCCATATATCGCTGGACCAACTTTTGTACTAGCAAACAAGATATTATCATATAAAATGCAATTTATTTATAGTGGTTGGTAGTGTTTTTCTCTTCTCGTGCATATTTTAATTTGTTATTTGTATGGCTCCCAATTGAGACTTTGAGAGGTCAGGGCGTATATTGATGTGATATAGGTTTGTGTATTGCCATGGCTAATTAACGAAATACAGTTATCATCATTGTTTTAAAAATAAATATCAGACGCCTGGACAACTTCAACAATGGTGAAGAGGCTGAAAGCCCGTTTGGTGACCCCTGTTTCGGCTTATCAGATTTATCGGCCAATTTTTTCACCGAATTCAAAACTTTTGATTTAGCGCGCTGAATTTTGTAATAAGCAGAAAAAGTAAGGTTCAAGTTACTTTTCAGGCTGTATTGGCTGAAGTTACTGTAGAAGATCATTTTACCTATTTTTTTCATATAATTTTTTATTTATTTTATTGATAACAAATATTTTAAATATAATTATTTCATGAATCAGCAGAATCAGCCATTATAGCAACTTCAGCCAAAACTTCATAAATTTCAGCAGAATCAACCAATTCAGCATATAATGGTGGTGATGAATCCGTCTATTATCACGCATGTTTTTTTATTAAATTGAATCGTCTAATCGGGTATCTTACTATTAAAATTATTAATAATCTATTTGAGTAGGTAATTAGTTACTCCCCACTACTTAAGATGGTCTCCTTTTCTTTTTCGGTTCCTCTCAGTAACATTGTCACAAATCAAAATTTGATAAACTACATAAAGTCATTTTTTTAAATAATCGTACCAGTCCCAATATTATTGGGACATGGGGACTTTGGGGAGTAACAAATGATGAAAACATCCGTGTTAAGATCTGTGTTCAATTGTAAAAGGTCTACCTAATATTAGGATTTTGTAAAAAAACCGAAAAAAAAATCAAATCAAAATAAACCGAACCACAACCAAATAAAACCGAACCGTTAAAAACAGAAACCGAATGTAAAGACAGAATAGAACCGTAGTTGTTTGGTTTGGTTTTGGTTTTTACCCTTCAAACCCAAACCAAATCAAATAAACTGAACTAATTTAAATATGAATTTTTATTTCCTAATTGTTAA